TGATGCTGGCTTCCTAGAAGGAATTTGGGAGTTCTCTCTCTGTTTCTATCATTTTGAATAATTTAAGTAGTATTTGTTGGAGGTCTTCTTTAAATGTCTGGTAGAATTCTGCTGTAAATACATCTGGTCGTGGGCCTTTTTTAGTTGGTAGGCTTTGTATTACTGTTTCAATTTCCTCATATGTTATAGGTCTGTTTCAACTGTTGATCTCTCCTTGGTTTAACTTTGGAGGTTCCCATGATTTCAGACATCCATCCATTTCTTTTAGACTTTCAAACTTAGTAGTGTATAGGTTTTTAAAATATTCTCTTATGATGGTTTGGATCTTTTGGATAACTGTTGTGATGATTCCCCTTTCATCTCTGATTTTGTTGATTTTGATTTGCTCTTTATTTCTTTTGGTTTTCTGGCCTAAGGGTCTTTCTTTCTTGTTTAGCTTTTCAAAGAACCAGTTCTTAGATTCATTGATTCATATATGTGTAATTTTTTTTGATTGATTGATTTTTATGTGGCTTTTGGCTACTCTAACATTCCTCCCTCTAAAGAGGTATCCCTATTCTTTGTATTGTTTTCTTTGTTTCTATTTAATTTGTCCTCTGATTTTTGTTATTTCTTCTGTTTTGCTAAGTTTGGGTTTCATTTGTTCTTGCCTTTCCAGTGTCTTGAGTTGCAGTGTTATGTCATTTATTTGAGCTCTTTCTAATTTTTTAAAGTAGGCACTTAGAGTTATAAACTTCTGTCTTAGGACTGCTTTTAAAGTGTCCCGAAGGATGTGTTGTGTTGTATTGTCCTTTTCATTGAGTTCCAGGAATTCTTTTATTTCTTTGTTAATTTCTCCTTTGACCCTCTGATTGTTTAGGAGTGTGTTCTTTAGTTGCCACGAGTTTGTGCAGTGACTAGAGCTTTGTCCAGTGTTGATTTTGCGCTTTATTGCATTGTGTTCTGATAGAATGCATGGAAGTATTTCAGTTTTTTAGTACTTATTGAGGTTTGTTTTGTGGCCCAATATGTGGTCAATTTTTGAAAACGTTCCATGGGGTGCTGAGTAGAAAGTGTGTTCTTTGGTGCTTGGGTAGAATATTCAAAAGATGTCTCTTTGGTCCATTTGATGTATGGTATCATTTAATTCAGATGTCTCTCTATTTATTCTTTGTCCAGTTGACCTGTCTAATGGAGACAGTGGGATATTGAAGTCCCCTACTATTACTGAGTTGGGGTTAATCTGTATCTTAAAGTCTTGTGTTGTTTTTATGAAATTGGGTGCACCAGAGTTTGGTGCATTATATGTTAAGGATTGTAATATCTTCTTGGTTATCTGTTCCTTTGATCAGAAAGAAATGACCCTCCTTATCTCTTCTTATTAGTTTTACTGTGAAGTCTATTTTGTATTATATTAGAATTTCAGCCCCTGGCTGTTTCTTAATGCCATTTGCTTGAAATATTCTTTTCCATTCTTTTACCTTAAAGTAGTGCCTGCCCTTGAAGGTGAAATGGGGTTCTTGCAGACAGCAAAGAGATGGATTTTGTTTCTTAATCCATCCACTTAACCTCTCTTTTGACTGGTGCGTTCAGTGCATTGCTATTTAAGATTATTGAAAGATGTATATTGGTTGTTGTCATTTTGATTGCTGTTTGTGTTCTCTGTCTAATTTTGTGTTTCCTTGATTTTATTTTTATTTTCTTTCATTGTCCCTGGGTTATAGTTTTTTTTCTTTCTCTGCTCTCTGTATTGCTTCAAGTATTCTTTGAAGGGTTGGTTTTGTCCACATGTATTCTTTCAGGATATTTGTCTCATGGAAGATTTTTTTTTTCCCTTCAACTATGATAGATAATTTTTTCTGGGTAAAGTATTCTGGACTTTCATATAAAATTGGAAATACCTTGGTCCAGCCTCTTCTGGCTTTCATAGTTTGCATTGATAAGTCAGGTGTAATTCTGATGGGCTTTCCTCTTATGTGACTTGTTTTTCTTTTGCTGCTTTCAGTATTCTCTCTTCTGTACATTCAGTGTTTTTACTATCATATGTAGTGGGGTGTTTCTTTTCTGATCCTATTTGGTGTTCTGTGTGCTTCCTGTATTTGTATGGGGATGTCTTTTCTTATTTTGGGAAATTCTTTTCTACAATCCTGTTTAAAATCTGGTCAATACCATTAACCTGAAATTCTTCTCCTTCCTCCCTTTGTATGATCCATAGATTTGGTCTTTTCATGATTTCCCACGTATCTTGCATATGCCATTCCTGTGGGTTTTTTTTTTTTTTTTTTTTTTTTTTAGACTTTACATAATCTTTGCTTGAGTGGTCTAATTCTTCACGTTCATCCTCCTGTGTTGATATTCTGTTTTCCATCTCATTTATTCTAGTGGTGAGGCTTTCCCTGTTGTTTCAAGTTGGCTTATTGAGGTTTGCACTTCCTTCTTCATTTCTGCCTGAGTTTTCTTCAATGTTTCTATCTCTTTGTGAATTCATTCAGAGGTTTATCCCTATCTTCTTTTAGTTCTTTGATTGTTTGTTCATGTATTTTTTTAAATTCATTGAATTCCTTGATCATGTTTATGATTGTTCTTTTAAATTCTGTGTCCTGGGTTATCTCTTGGGGGTTCCCCTTGTAAAACTCTTCTACACGATTCATGGAGTTTGGTGGGGACATAGTGTTTTGGGTTTCCATTTTATTATTCTTTTGTTGTAATTTTGGCATGTGAATTTCTTTTGTTGTTTATGATTCTGATATGAGAATTAAGTTGAAGTATGCTTCTGTTTATATTATCGGGGTGCCTAGATCCTTTATTGGTTATGTAAAGCTGATTGGTACAGGGTTCAGGTTCTTTCAGGTTTGATTTGGAGGGAACTGATGGCTTCAGATCAGCTATTCCGAGTACCCTTAGAAGCCCAATTCAGGTTCCAGTCAGGTACACTCAGGCTTCCTTCAACAAGGGGAGGCAGGGTCTGGGTGCTCTCAGGCAGTCCTCTGTGTTCTCAGCCCCTGTGCCAGAGGGAGGCCAGAAGGGAGGCCAGAAGGGAGGTCAGAACTTTGCACTCTGTGAAGGTCTGCTGAGATCAGAACTGCTACACCCATGGAGTTTGAAACCCACCCTCTCAGGTTGTCTGCTCTCCACCTTAGCCTTCCTAAGTCAGATCTGCCCTGGGGCCTTGAATGGGGCCTCAGGAAATCCCAGGAAGGGAGATTGGGTTTGGTGCAATTAGGGGAAACTTAAAACCACAGTGGAGGCAGGATCTGGGGCTCTCAGGCAGTCCCCTGAGTCCTCAGGCCCTCTTCCAGAGGGAGTTCAGAGGGAGGCGGGAGGGAGGCCAGAGCTGGGCACTTTGTGGTGGTCTTCTGAGATCAGAGCTGCTGCACTGATGGATTTTGGAACCCACCCTCTCAGGCTGTCTGCTAGGATCTCAGCCTTAACCTATCAAAGCCAGATCTGCCCTTGGATCTTGGGAGGGGCCTCACAATATCCCCAGTAGGGGGATGGTTATGGTGCAATTAGGGAATGCTCACGACCACATGGAGGTAGGATCCATGGGCTCTCAGGCAGTCCTCTGGGTCCTCAGGCCCTCTGCCCGACAGAGGCCAGAGGGAGGCCAGAACTCTCTGGCAGTCTGCTGAAATCAGAGCCACTACACTGATGGAGGTTGGAACCTACCATCTGGTCTTTGTGTTAATTACCATCTACAGCAAAAGAAGTTTCTCTGATCAGGGTTGAGACTTTTTTTGTTTTGTTTTCTTGAGACAGGGTCTCTCTGTTGCCCCAGCTGGCCTGGAACTCACAGAGTCGGGCCTGCTTCTGCCTCCTGAATGCTTGGATTAAATATGCGCTATTGCCTCGTCCTGGTTGAGACTTTGAAAGTAGATGTTTACATAATAATTAACCCTTAGACATTGTGTACACCTTTGTCTGCTTGGTGTAATTTTCAGAATTCCTTCTCCACATTGTTTCAGTTCTGTCATTACCAAAGTTTAGAAAATTAGCCCTTTGACTGTAGACCTTATTCTCTGGTAGAAAAATGTTTCTGAGAGGGTTAATGTATTGATTATTTAAATATTGACAGAAACTCATGAGACCCTTTCCTAAAGTTTTTTTTGAAAGAAAAATAGCAATGTCAAGAAGACTCTGGAAGTAACAGTCTCATATTATTTATCAAAATTGAATATGTGACCAGAGTGTGATGACTTATACCTATGATTCTAGCACTTAGGAGGCTGAGACAGGAAGATTGAAAGTTGAAGGCTATCCTGGGCTATATAATGAGACCATGATACAAAAAAACAAACAAACAAACCATATTTATTCTTTGCCCTACTAATCTTGCTTTTGGGAGTGTACCTTACCTATAGCCCATCCCTCTGTCAACAATCATGCATAGACAAAGCTGCTTATTGTAGTTGTTGGTGATTAAAAAAAATAATATCTCAAGTATCCATTAGTAGGAAACTGATTAAGTGAATTCTAGAATATTCATTTTAAAAAAATAAATAAAGACAGGACCTGGAGAGATGACTTAGCGATTAAGAGCACTGGCTGAGGACCTACATTAGTTCCCAGCACACACATGGTGGCTCTCAGCCATCTGTAATTCCAGTTCCATGGGATCTGATGCCCTTTTTGGCCTCTACAGGCATTGTATGACATGGGCACGCTAACATACATTCATGCAATACACTCATGCACATAAAATTAAATAAATAATATAAATGTCTTAGAGGAAAAGAAAGATATGATATAGATGTTTCTTTTTTGTAGGAAATGGGAAAATAAAAGAAATTGAATTATTTTATATAAAAGATTATTTGAAATCTTTCTTACGAAGAAACACTGGCAGAACACTGGAGAAATTATAAAGTAGTTAGGAGATTTTAATTAAGGGACCAGGGGGCAAGTATAAAGACTGAAGTCACAACCAGTCTTCAGCCCTTTTTGTGCATGACTTGAAGCAGCATTTTTAGATATTTTGCACAGTGCCGTTTATTCAGTTGTATGTGTGTGTTTTCTTGTAGATGCCAGAGGAACAAGCATTCTGCATTTTGGTAAAAATCATGTATAAATATGGTTTGCGAGACCTCTACAAAAACAATTTTGAAGATCTTCATTGCAAATTCCATCAGCTGGAGAAACTAATGCAGGTAAGTAAAAAACGGAAACTTTTATGACTCAAGGATTTGTTGTTATCAAAAAACCTGAATTGAGTTGATGAGTTGATAAGCAATTTTTAGTTAGAAGAGTTTAATGGGATACAACTGAAAGTATAAATAATTTTTTACCACTATCTGGTAAAAATTCAGAATCATTAATGTATTATTTGTACCTAATTATTTGACAATTTTTTTAAAAAGCAGTCTCATTTCCATATATTCAATTTTAATATGTCTTATTATAAGGATATATTGAGTTAGCTAGTGAAGATATTGTGAGATAAAAATTATTCTTGGTTGAGCACATGTCTTTAATCCCAGGACTTGGGAGGCAGAAGCAGGTGACTCTCTCATTGCATAAATGCCCTCATCTACATAGCAAGTTCTAGGCCAACCAGGGATGTATGCTCATACACACGCACACACACATACACACACACACACACACACACACACAGAGAGAGAGAGA